AAATAATCTGTCATAGGGAACCCGAAAGGGGCGCTGTGGGGTGCTAACACCTTCCCCACGCGTAACCGACTCCCTTACCCAACTCTGGTTGTAATGGCCAAAGTTGATTTATAAAATCAATTGCCTTATCCCTTTTTCCAATGTTTTGAGTAAAACATTGGTGGCGACTCCACGAACCCCTCCTTTTGCGAAAACCACTAATCCATGGAGGGTCCCGCTTGGGATTAATATGGATTAGTGAGACTTTTAATAAAATTGCTCGTTTGACAAGGTCTCAGTTTGAGAATACGTCATTCTAGCAATCCATATTTTTAAACAAATAAACGAGTCCAACCATCCTTCGCGAATGCCGAAAGCCCGTTCGGGCCGGTGGCGACAGTATTTTGTACCACATAGAGTAGCATTTTGGGCTTTAGGCTTATTGGGCCTAGTTTTGGGCTTCATGGGCCTTTGGGCTTTTGGTACCCAATATTGGGCTCATTTTCATTCTTGTAATTTTTCCTTTTCATTGTATTTCATTGACAATTGTATTTAGGTCATTAGTATAGGATTTAAAGAGGAATACTTGTTTAAGAGGATTAGGCAAAACTAGGTTTAATTTAGCTTGCATTTAAGTTGCATTTTGAGTCACAAGGTTGGCGCCACCTTGGCTGAACATGTGTGACTCAAATTCAACCCTAAATGCAAAGTAAATCAAACCTAAGTTGCATTTAGCCCTTGGAATCCGATGATGCACATGTGGGTTAAGATTTGAATTCAAAATTCAAATTTGAATTCAAATCTTGGCGCCACATGTGAAGCCTTCACATTGGCGCCAAATGCTTCCCAAATCCGGTTCTATATAAGCTTCCCTCCTAGCATCTTGTATTCACTTTTGATATATGAAATTTCTGAACCTATATTCAGCCAAAGTTCTACAAGAGTCACCGAGAGAGAGTGCCTTCAAAACCCTAAAAAATTCCCTTAGTTTCCTACCTTTGAAGTGAGCAATCCTTTGATGCTTAAGCTTGGATGCTTCCATCCATAGTTTAGGTTCTTTGATCCGAGAATATCCTTCATCCAAGTCTTCTTCAATTCGGTTTTCAATCTCCAAAGAAGAGGTCCTAAGCAAAGGTGAAGTCAAGAAGGAGTTCATCCATCACTTCTCCTAGCTTCTCCATCATTAAATAAATAGGTTTTTTAGAAGATGAATTTATAAGAATTCACCTATCCCAATAACAAAAAGCCTAACTTGAATGATCCTATATTAAGAGTTAAATTAACTAAAGGAATGGGTCATAATTATTATGGAGAACCCGCATGGCCCAATGATCTTTTATACATTTTTCATGTAGAAATTTTGGCTACTATTGTCTATAATGTAGGCTTAGTAGAACCATCAATGATTGGGGAAGTCACTGATCCATTTGCAATTCCTCCGGAAATACCACCCGAATGGTATTTCTTTCTTGTATTTCAAATGCTTCGTACACTAACTTTTTTATTAAATAAGTCATGTTAGACTTTAAACAAGTCAAGTCATAGACCCGTTATTTTAAGGCATAATCTATTCTTATCTCTAATTATAACAATAATTGATTATAGATATGCTTAATTATTTTAAATGACTTAACTTTTACGATTTTCCCAAATACAGTCTAAATATCACACATTCATAAACCAATGCATGAATTTACAGGTGTCAAATAAGTTGGATCGTCATGACCTAACTTGGCCTGTATGAGCCAAATGTTATTTTAAGTTAAGCTAAACTTACCTATATTTTTTCAGGCTACCATTTTTTGACCCAACCTGGCCTATGTTGGGTCACCAGACCAAATTAGCTTAGTTAAAAAAAGATTTTTTTACAATGAAAAAAATATATAACATGATTAATTGATACTACATATTATTATGAAACACTTATTAGTTTTACATTATGCAATTTTCTACAATTATTACATTTGTATTTATCCACCCATCAACTAGACCAATATCATTAGAGGTATTAAGCTTACTTTTTTTAGTCTTTTCAGTATCTTGATATTGGTCATTAATAACCTTACTCTTGCTCTTATTACTTATAGTAGTAATAGAAGGATATTAACAATGATAGACTCTCTCTTTGTTTTAGGTGGGTGGGATTTTCATTATATCTAAATCATCCTTCGTACTATCAATAATATCATCAACATTCATGACTACAATATTCAAAATTAAACAAGTTTACTCACTCAATTTATAGTTTTCATAATGGATTATAAGGCAACAACAAGTCATAATTCTTAGTTCGATTCAAAAGTAACAACAAGCCAAAATTCAATTCACAATTCTCTGTTCACATAACACAAGCCTTATAAAAATAAAATAACATACTTGGTATTTAGTTAGAGTTGGAATCAAGGCGTAACACCAACAATAGGCAATAAAATAACAGATAATAACTTAAATGAGATAGGAAAAATGTTACAACAAAAAGAAAGACTTATTAGCGAGGTAAATATATTTGAGCAGTTGAGTAGGAAAAAATAATATCATAAAGAGAAAAAATATTTCTTACATAGTGAAGAGATACTTTATAATTTTGTGTCTAAGCGATGATGGTTAGTTGTTATTGTCACCCTATGAACACACACTACTACAAAAGTGTCATTTTCTTGCGAATTTTCCTACAAAAAAATATTCGCAAGAAATTTTTGCGAATTTTCTTGCAATAATAATTTTGCAAAATTTTTTTACGAATTTATTTGCGAAAAATAATTTATAGATATTTCTTACAAATTTTTTTACGAAAAATAATTTACAAGAATTTTTTGCAAATTTTGCTACAATTTTAATGATCATAGAATTTTTTTTCATGGTAAAATTTGCAAAAAATGTTGTAAGAATTTTATTTTGTTTCTTGCAAAAATAAATTCGCAAGTAATTTTTACTAAATGGTAGAAAAATTTTGCAAGTAACTTTTCGTGCAGATTTTTCTGCCAATTTTAATCCGCAGGAAAAGTAAAAACTTTTACTTTTGAATGTTTTTACTAGTTTTACTTTTTATACAAACTATATTCCTTGCCTAAACAAGTAGAAGAGAATGAAATTTCTATTGTTTTCCTTTTTCTAGATGATTGAATCCATTTGACTCTCTAAATGCATCACATGACATATAATTCATCACGCCCTCTATCTTATTTCATTTCATTTTTCTATCATTACTCAATGTTGGCACATACAGATATCTAAAAAACACAGCAGATCACAAAATTGGCGAAAGGGTTAGAAAACCCCTAAATATCGCAGCTCCATTAAAAAATTACTCAAACACTAACATTATGCCACCAACATTTTCCAACATACCATTCCTATGAGTCGGACAAAAAACAATTTCCTTTAAATTAGAAACAAAACAAAATTGGCGAAAACAAAAGAGTAACACGAACAAACAAAGTTCAGCTTCATTCAAGAGGAACCTCAACGTCACCATCGGAAATCTCCTGCTGCAGATCCTTAGGGTCCTTGCCATCCACCATGCACCCAACCGAAACGCAAGTCCCGAGGATCTCCTTGACCGTTCCGCTGAGATCCTTCGCCATGGATCGCGACTTCATCACCCTCGCGATCTCCACCACGTCGTCCAGCGCAATGTTCCCGTTGTGCTTAATGTTCTTCGTCTTCTTCCTGTCCCTCTCGGGCTCCTTCAGCGCCTTGATCACCAGCGCGGCGGCGGAGGGCACCACCGTCACCTTCGCCTGGCGGTTCTGCACGGTCAGCTTCACCGTCACGCGGAGACCCTTCCAGTCCTTCGCGGTTTCCTTCGCGATGTCCTCTCCGATCTTCTTCGGAGACAGACCTAAGGGACCGATCTTCGGAGCCAGCGAACTCGCCGCGCCGACTTCGCCGCCGGTGACTCGGACGAACACGTCCACCACCTGCGAGGGGTCGAACTTCGGAGGCATTGAGTGAAGATTTTTTCTTTTCTTTTTTTCTCACTCGAGTTGTGAATTTAGGGTTTTGCGGACGGAGGATGAGGATGCTGTGAGAACTTAGAAATATAAAGTTGTGAAGTAGGAAGTAGGGTTTTGTTTTGTTGCGAGGATTTTTGGGCTTTTCGACTTGTTTTTTTGGCCCAATCCGCTTTATGCAAAGTTAGAATTGGGCTCTTGTTCTTTTATTCCTTAACTTTCAAGCTTTTGGTTACTTAAAAAAATTGTTATTTAAAAGAATGAGAACTTTATTTTTTTTTATCTAAAGTATAATTTTGGAATGAAAAGATTAAATATGTCTTTGATTTCTACTTTTAAAATTATTTTTAGAATATCAATGGAGATGATTCATATTAGAGATGACAATAAAGTAAATAGGAATGTGATGTAGAAATGAGAATAAGTCAAGCTTTGAGTATATAAGTCAAACTTATTTTATAAAATTAAATTTTTAATCTAACCTATTATCTGTCATAACATTTTTATAGGTTTGACTTTTCTTTTTTAAAATTCTGACTTAACCTATTAACTTATTTAAAAGTTTATTTTGTAAATTAACATATTTAAAAATCTATTTTATATTAACAATGTTATATAAACTAATACATTTAATTTTAAATAACTCAAAAATTATATTTTTAAATACATGTGCCGATCTTTGTTTAATTTGTGTTAGACTCACACCATTTTACTCTTGTTATTTCTCCACTCTCACTTTCTTCTTCTTCCATTCACTCTTTTATTGTTGAAATCTTTGTGCTGAACCATTTTTCCTGTGGATTGTCTCAAGGTGTTGGGTAGAGGAGTACAAGAAAGCTTGAAGTCCTAAGTAGCCTTCGTTGTCATTCTCTATCATTTTTCTTCTTCCCTAGAGCTCGGAGTTGCCATTTTCGTTCCTCATTCTCCTTCTTCTTTCTCTTTAGCTTGGAGTTGTCATTTTCATTCCTCATTCTCCTTCTTCTTTCTCTTTAGCTCGGAGCTCAAATTTTCAATCCGATAAGAGGTAAGGGAAGCTATATAGTTTAAATCTTGAGTAGAGTTGCTGAATGTAGAGAGTGTTGTTGGTTGCATGTTGATGAATGAAGGGGGTGAGGCTGAAGTTGTGGGTTTTTGAGTGTTGGGAAGTATGAGATGTTCTGAGTTGAGTTCTTGTTGCATGTTGCTTTTAAGATGATTTTCGTGTTGCATATTGTTAGTAGTGTTGTGTGTTTGCATTTAGTTGTGTTGGATTCTCTTAATTGTTGATGTTTTGATGAAAATTTGGTGAAGGGAAGGTGAAGATCAAAGGTAAAATCCATGGAAATGTAGAAAATTTTGAGATCCGTAGCCATGACCGTGGTTTATGGCCATAGCCATGGGGTAAGAATGAAGTGGCAAAGACCCGTAGCCATGGTCGTGGTTCATGACCATAGCCATGGGTAAGAATGAAGTGGTAGAGATCCATAGCCATGGCCGTGATTCATAGCCATAGCCATGGGATAAAAATGAAATAACAAAGACTCGTAGCCATGGTCATGGTTCATGGCCATAGCCGTGAGGAGGAAACTGAGTTGGCAGAAATCCAATGTTAAAGCGTTGATTTGAGCATTGCAGTAGTGAGGGTAGATGACCGAATTAGTCTTGGAGTCTTCATGAAAGTTGTATCCTCAGATGTTATCTTTTCAATGGCACTAGAATCACCCAAAAAGGAGGTATAGAACTTTAGCTAAGACTTTTTTAGTGAGCAAAGATCAAGCTGTTAGCATTTAGGAAAATGGTTACGATTTTTACAATTTTTAACATGATAGATGAGGGAATTAGAACCTGAGTTCTTCATGAAAGTTGTATAAAATCTTCTTATATCTCATATGAGATAAGTGTGAGAGTGATTGGAGTAATAGAACTCCCTATGGGTTATTTTATGTGAAGGTTGTTAGTGTAGCAATAAGTGATTTTGATAAATTGCATGTGATACATGCTATATAATGGGTGAAATTTGTAAACATTAACAGAATGCTTGTGTTTATTGCATGTTGTGTGTTATAGGATGATGATAATGAGCATTGATATGTTATCTTTGTGTACTTGAAATGATAATAAGCATTGGAATGTTATCCTTGTGTACTTGAAATGGTGATGAGCATTGGTATGCTTTATATGATTGATATGCTATGTTGAATTAATTATGGAACATTGATATGTTATTATTGTATGAATTGTTAAGCATTGGTATGTTGTTCTTGGTTGAGATGTTAAGCATCGGTATGATGTACATAATTGATGTTATTGATCTCTATATGCATTAACTAGATGTGATGTATATAGTAGATGTATGGTAAGGTGTGGATGCTGAAAATGCGGTGTGGCATTATAGCATGATGGCTACTTAGGATTTGAGGAGAGATAATTATTTTGAAAATTGAAGATCCCACATAGGGTATCTTGGAGTGGTGCTTGGGTAGACCACTGTTTGAAAAAGCCTCTTTGAATATGTGTGTCTCTTGGAGTAGGTTTTGAGGTGTGTTGAGTCTCCTCCAAATCCTTAGTGGTTGAGTAAGGTAGGAGGTCGAGGGCTACAACCCTTAACCAAGTACCTAGAAAGGCTGTATGGTTCCTTGGGGATAATCATTGGGTGAATTTCATATGTGACTTGGTAATGCATGTCAAGGTCGTGATAAGCCTATACCCAGTTGTACTATTCCTAACGATGGAACCGGACTTTCCTAGTGCAAGTGAGGAGACTGAGAAACCAGAGGGGGATTAGTATCCCATTTTGTTGTGGTCGAGCCGACGCATCGGGCATGAAAATGATTGAGTTGGTTTGGTAAGGTGGAAATCACTTAAACTGCTCATGTTGTTAGGAGATCTCCATAGGTGAATGTGTGATAACACATTGGTCGATGTGTTTGCATATGATGTATGTTGAGGTGTGTTCATGTTCATTTGATGTCTTTTGGGACATGATTGGGTGAGGTACATGCTTACTTGGAATGTGATTAGTTTTCATATATGATATCTGATGTGTTGTTGTATATTATATACTTGTTTCTATATGTATATGCTTTGAACTCTAGCTTACCCCTTTTTGATAGCAGTACTACTGATGTACCTTGTATAGGTGTGCTTGATGAGCACTAGGATGTAGGATTATTTTGGGATGATTGTATACATACATATATATATATACCCTGTTTATATTAGTTTTGTTGTTTTATTTATATACTCATGTTAAATATATGTATGGTATATTTCTTCCATTAATCATGTACATTCTAGTAACTTAGCTTCAGTTGTTAGTAATAATGATTCTACATAGTATGGTGACTATAGTGGGTCGTTACAATTTGCATGATAAAAAATAGCTTACTTTATTATTGTTAAAATTTGGAGTTTAAAATAAAAATTAAAAAAACAAATTGAGGAACAACACATGTATATATATATATATATATATATATATATATATATATATATATATATATATAACATAAATTGTAATGAAGAAGATAGTCTTATTAAAAAAAATATTTTAAGTATTTTTTATATCACATTTAAAGTATTCTAAATAACGACTTATGAAGATGAAGGTAAAAAAAACAAGCGAAAATGTGATTATTAGGATTTTTATTTTTGATATATTGATTTCATACGAACAAAGAATATAAAACATTTAAGCATAGTAAAAATGTAAAAAAAAATATTAATAATTTAATTTTTATCATAATTTTTTTTGTGATATATATATATATATAATTTTTTTATTATATTATAAATAAATAAGATAATCTATCATGTCAAACAGACTATTTTTATAAGTCTTAACCCAACTTTTTATACAAATACTTTTTAAAAAAATTTAAGTATGACCTTTTTATTAAATAGGTCAAGTCATGCTAGATTTTAAATAAGTTAAGTCTTAAACTATTTTTAAAGTTTAACCTATTTTGATATTTATAATCATGTGTTCATATTCATTTAAGTATCCAATAAGTTAATATCTACAAAATTTATAAATATAATGTATTTGTAAGCATTTTAAAATATAAAATTGTATAAAATAAAAAAATTAAATTATAAATAAATAATTAACTTTGAGTTTATAAAAAAAATATTTTAAAACATACATTTATGCTAAAAAAAAATTATAAAAACTTCAAATTTGTTATATTGTAAAATGTGAATACTAGTAATTTACTATTTAACTTGGTCTTATCAAGAACAAAATATTCATAAACTATATATTTATTTTCAAGTCATAGTAAAAATTTTAACTATAAATTTCTGCACGTGCAATTTTTTATTTCATTCCTAATTGATGCCATTAAACTAAAACCAGAAAATAAAAAAAATGAAAAAACATATCTTTGTTTCTGTTTATTTAAAAAATAATAATGAATTTTAAATAAGGAATTAATTGAAAGTATAATACGTTTATCACTCAATAACGACGATTAACAAGATTTTATTTCATGATATTTGTTACGAATTATACAGTGTGAAAAATTTTCATTAATAAATTCAGATTCTTATCGTGGATAAGTGATTACTCTATTCGCCCTCAAAACCTACTTTACTTAAATTTTTTGTAGAAAAAAAACTTTAAAGACAACTTATTGTGTCAAATAAAAAAAGTATGCATGTATTAGTTTTTATTATAAACATAAAACATGTAAATTAATTGGTATAAGCTTACATTATTTTTTCTCGGTGATTTTAAATTTAAATTATATAAATGTTGTTTTAAGTATATAGATGAAATATTATTATTCATAATTGTTTTATTTAACTCAATCAAAATTTGTTTTAATAAAAAATACTTGTTATATGTACTCCCTCTATATATAAATAAATAAATAAAAAGAGTAATTTTTCACTGATTAATAAAACTAATTAAATGTACTTAATTTTTATAATTTCACATAAAATATACACTATATTTTCTAAAATATTCTTAACCACTTCTATTGTTGATATCCTTCCATTTATCATTTTAAGGGTATTTTTGAATTAAGAACATTAAATAAAGTTGACTTGATTGAATCTTGCTTATATTTCAATCTATAAAATTCTGTAACATTGTACGTTTTTGTTAATTA